GTGCTCAGGGACACAAGCTCCCATGTATTCACTGCAGCAACAACACAACTCAATTTAACAGAAAATAAATGCTGTTCTGGAGTCAAGCCTTACCAAAATAGGTCTGGGGTGTCTTCAGAAGACTGTGAGACACAAACTCACAAGAAGCCAACTAGCTTCATCTACACTGGGAGAAATGTGAAGTAAATGCAATTGTTCAAGTATACATTGAGGAAAGATAGGATTTTATTCACTTTAATAGATACAATAATTTTCTGTCACTTTCATTGCACTGCTGAGGCTTATGGCAAGCGAAACACAGCTTGTGGCAGCTGGAAATGACTGTGGAACCTAATGCCTAGATCTGCTATGTAACCAAGACCACTTGGATCAGACCAGTACTTGAGAGAAAAAAAARCATTGGGAAATAGTCCTTCCTGAAACCCTTGCAATATCTAAGACATTAGTATTGCTCCWGCAGAATGCCAATGAGCAAGGGACGTGAGAAGTTGCACTTCACTAAGAACCCACAGCCAACCTCATGCTGTCCCCACTTTCCTCAAGAAGTGCAAAGCAGTCACTCCTTACTGGCGGTGCTGGGTTCTCCTGCACTTCAGTTGTTTAATTGGTGTTAGAAACACTTTCATTTCCCTGGAAWCTAGCTGTTTAGCTGGGAGGCCCTGTGGTGAGTCACTGAGCCACCCTCTGCACAACAACAGGAAGAGCTGCAAAATCCTTCAAGAATGTCAATGAGTGGGGGGTGTCTTTATCCAGGCTTGTTTGCTGGCTACCGACAATATTTGCAACTGCATTGGAAATAATGCTCCACACAGACCATATTTTTACTTTATTCCCTTCTCTGAAATGGATTTTTTCTCCAAATCTCCCAAACACTGAATCATGGTAGAGTTGATGGAATACTATTTGTCAAGATGACTATTTAGTGAGTTTTGCTACTTCTTGCTGAAAGATTTATTTGATACAAAGTTTTTTCAGCATTTGATCATCTTCAGAGCAAGCTATATATATTCTTTTGGTACATGTTTCGGAGACTAAGTAACAATACTTGCTAAGAAATTTAACTGAGAATAGTGCTTCCTGGTATTCGTCCAGAACACATCTGCTCTTGAGCCAACCTTACAGGGCAGATTCTTCAGACCCCTACAGACTGACCTAACTCTACTCCCACTCAAGTCAATAAAATAAGAAAAACACCCTTCCACTGATTTCCGTGAGAAGCATTAAGGCTGATCACCTTGGAAAATAACACCTGCTCATAACACCTATTTTAGAGACAGATTAATAACTCTGCATACTAAGTGCACAAGCATTTAAATCGCTACTCCTGTTAAACTCAGCTGCCATTAAACCCACCCCGACAGAGTTACGCATGCAAGTATGCATGCAGAGTTAGGCCTAGAGAAGGAATTATGGCATATCAATAGAAGTCCTATACTCCTGTTTCTGGTGAACATCCTGCATCCTACTCTGGCCTTACCTTCCCATATCTATGTGGGGCTATAGCCCTGGCATTGTGAGGCCATGTTTGGCCACGCTGAGAGCGTGACTTACAAGGAGTAGGGATTATTTTTATTTTCACTGGGCATTAGCCCAATTTATGTGGCATAGTGGAACTTGCAACTTAGAAACAACATCATCAACAAGAGAAAATTTCCATGGCATTAGATCTTAGATGTAATTAGTTGTGAACTTGCTGAACCATTAGATTGTGACATTAGATTAAGATGAGTGAGTCTAAGCATTACTTAAAGCAGTACATGGAACATATCACATTTGCCACAAATGGTAAGGTAGATGTGATCTGCATGTCAACCAARATTCCTGCTATTTGCTTTTTCTGATTCTGCTGCTCCTAACAGAGGGATCAGCTGTCGCAATCACACACTACTCAACTAATGTGACTTCAGGTACCAGTGATTAGAGTAATGGAACAGTATCGCAAGACATATAGACTTGTCACAGCAATTAATAGAGGAGGCACTTACGCTAGCATGGCCAGTTCTTCTCAGTGTGTGCACCTCCCAGAAAACCATCTAGCTAAGGACTCAGCTCAACTCTTTTCTTCTTTTCCTCCTTCCAGTATTGCAGAATAGGTTTATAATTGCTCCCCTCTAACATTTTGTTTCTCAGGTCTCTTTAGCAGGAGTTTTACTATGTCTTCCACTTCTCAACACTTCCACAGCACTTTCCGTTTTGCCTATTTTAACTCTGTTGCTTTTTTTTTCTTTTTTTTTTCTTTTCCTGCCCAAATCTCATTTCTCTTTTTTCTACCTGCATGATGGGCAAGAAGTGTTTTTCCTTATTTATACAACAGTCAATGCAGTACATATTCAGTTGGAGTGGGTTCTGACCCACTGGCAAATCTATACAGTTAGAACTCTCTGGCCAAATTATTCTCTTGGAGATCATAAAAGCAAGGGAAATAATTGGTGAGAAAAATGAAGATAATGCTGACATTTCTCTAGTTGGACAACATTCCTTCTTAAGTTACTGTGGAAAGTTCCCTCAGAYGTGGAAAAGTTGGGGCTATTTTTCTAAATAAATCCTCTTTCAGTTTAACATAGTTATCTTTTTGCGAAACGTATTTCTTTGGTCAACAGAAGCAGGGATAGCTGCTGGCAGTCTTCAACTCCTGTAATGTTCAGCTATGGCTTGGGCTGCAAGTGGAGGGCGAATTTTTACAGACGATGTCTATTACTACAATATATCAAGAAAACCTAGGTGAGTAGGGCTTGCACTTTGGAAAAAAAATGCAAAAATAAGAACACATGAATCAGAAATGGCCTAAAGCTCRGCATCAGCATGTTTCAGAAGTGGGTGTCTAGTGCTAGGCTCTTTAATGCCATTTAGCTACCTAAATTAGTAGCTTGATCTTTGCTACTGGTAATTGTCCAGAGGGTTCTGCAAAAGTAGGTTATTTAGGTACCTAAATGTGGGTTTAAGGAATCTAAATTTAGTTATTCAATCCTCAAATCTTGCCTTTGCAATCACAATTTGTGGACAGATAAAAATGCATGGTTTTTAACTTACTATTAGAGATCTACTTCCAGGTCACATTTTGGGAGTCTAAATTTTGTGCTCTATTTTACATGCAACCCAGAATCTCATTGCTGGTATATTTATTCTGTAAGATTCTGGCTGACCAGTAAATGCCCTTTGTGGTCTGTCCCCTGGCACCCCTAGCAGAGTGGTTAGAGTTGCAAGGTGGAAGGTGGGGAAGGACGGCGGGGCCGGAAGAAGCAGAACGAGCGCGACAGCCTTCCCTTCCACCCTCTGCTTGCAAAAATTGTCACAGGTCTCACAGCACTTCCCCCAGCTCCTTCCTTCCTTCTTTTCATTATATATCCAAAAGCCATCTGTCCTCTTTGTCTTTCCAGCCCTCAGCACAACTCCCAGCACAGGCTCTCAGAGGGCACTCAGACCTCCAAGCTTTCCTCTCTCTCATACTGCTGCTCCCCTGCTTCAGGGCATCCTGTCCTCCTTGGCCCTGCTCTGCAGTCACTGCTTCTCCTTTCACTACCAGGTCAGCAAACAAGGCACTCCAGGGTACTTCTGCCCTGCCACCCACACAGTCTAGTCTCTTTCTGATGATGAGGTGGGATTTGTTTCTGCTATTTAATCGGTAACAGGATGCCTCATAGGGAATGAAAGATAAAAATAAAAACAAGCCATTTTAACAGGTTATTTTTAAAGCTGCTTAGGTTTTCTTGTCAAGATCCTCTGGAACATAAAAAGCATAACTGCTACAGCTGCTACAGCCCCAGTACAGTTGGGTATAACTGCACTTGAAAAAAAAACCTCTGCTCAGTGTCAAGCAGGAGCCAAACCAGAAGGACAAATCAAAACTAAGTTTGTAATTCTATTCACAGAAAGTACTATTTTCAAATAAAAATGGAATTACGTACTCATTTTCTTAAGCCTCACCTATACATAAAAGTTGTAACCATTTCACTAACTCCTTTTGGAAGCTGTTTTTATTTTAATTGGGATAGTCTTTTTATGTCCTTTTAGGTCAGAACACCTCACACAGATTTATCTTCATTCATTCCTTACAGACAGAACAGCTTTTGTCCATGGGGTCCTGCAAGTGAATATACTACRTATTTTCTTCTGTCCAGATTTTTTTCAGTAACTACAGTTGAACAGTTTTACAAAGAGGAAGAATCTTTCTGAGTTCCTTAATTGAATTCAGTGTAAGACTTGTATGTCTAAATGAATTCATGCAAGTCAGTCTCTGCGGGATTGCAACGTGGACTGTGGGATAATAGTTTTGGCTGGTTACAAAAAGGTAGGGAATTAATTCAAAGAAACTCCGAAAATAGCACAAGGAGGAAGCTTCCTAAGGACTGTAGCCTCCCTACTCAGTGAGTAGAGCCAGGTGGCATGTGCCTGTGTTGACAGGCCTTTAAAATGATTATAAAATAAGGATTAAAAGACATCTGATCGAGGCTGTAGGGCTGGGAAATCTTTAAATATCCTTCAGACAAAATAAAAAAATATTTTCATAGAAGACTGGAGCTGTCTTTAGTATCAAAGCTGTATTTTCAAGATATCTTCCATGCATAATTACTCCATAGATTTTAGCGGACAATGCTTAAATATAAAGTTCAGAAATTCTGCAGACCAATTTTCAAGCGTTTCCCCTTGAAGCTGGTGTAATGCCATGTATGGCACCTGTATCATGAATTCAGGGATGGTYACACCTTGGTTTTGATTCTACCATCCTTGCTGGTAAAATAAAGATAGCTGTGAAACATCACCTAGTGTATTCCGGAGATCTACTTAGTGAAAGATAACTTAAGTAGCTAAAATGTGATGGGTGAGCTTCTTCTTAGCTAATGTGGCTGATTTGTACAGGATTAAAAAGCACCTTTGATATTGCAACACTGGAGGCTATATGAGCAAACGTTGTTAAGAGTAGGGAAAACACCCTAGCTATGACTTGCTTAAAACAGAGCCTCTCAGTAATTACTAATTTTATGTGTGTTTTCAGTACTTACATTAGTCAGAGGTCTAGCAAAACCCTCAAAAGAATGCAGGAAGGGCTGTGCACTGCTTCTTGGTGATTCATCCATTTCCTTCCTTCCATCCACGACGAGAGCTTTACCGGACGAGTCTCATGGCAGTGCTGAGCCCCGCGGTCATGAAATGCCTGCAAGATAGAGCCACCACCCTGTTGCTCGACTTCCAGAAGAGAGCAGGGCTGTTTTACCCTACAGAGACCCTGGTGCCTCCCAGTGAGCTGTAGGGCTCTGTAGGGAATATTTCTGATTTTAAGTGGTATTCARTAATCCCCTAAAACAGTCTCTGCAACAAATAATAAATTGGTAATCCTCCAAAATATTCCCTGCAATAAATAAGCATATCACAACCACATGGTTGCCAGCCTCACCTTGCTTTGCATGACCCATGTGCCAGACCTCTCYGGGCATCATTTTTGGGAAACCAGCTGATTGATTACTAACTTAGGAAYGCTATTGCAAAAGCATAAAAAAAAGAGAGTTTAAAATACATCTGAAACAGTTCTCTCTTCTGAGCTGTTATACAGGGTGTCTCTAAGGTATCTCTTAGCTGCACTAGTTCAGCATAAACTCATTAACCTCCCCACACGAAGTCCTGGCTTCCAAAAAAGTTTTTCCTATTCCAGTTTTATCAGGGATGCTCACTGGGATGTTACTATGTGAAAGTTAATCTTCAAAGTAGCTCTTGARCCCTGATTCATCTTTCTCCTCCCCTCCCTTGCCATTCTTCAGTCTAGGGAAACCCAAAAATGCACGCCGCTTAAATGAGTTTGTACTGGTTCCAAGTGTGTACCTGAACCAGCATTTAAAGTTGTTCCTTTCAGGTCCAGTGATGAGCCCATTTCTCCAACTGCACCTAACTGCCTGCTCACAAAATCTGCCAAGCTTATATTCATATCGTGTTTCATGACCTGGAAACACACCAGGACTCCGGCGCCCCAGCTGAGAGGTCGCCTGATACTCCAGCTGTGAGCTCAGTCACCTACAGACTAGGATCAAACTGTGCCTTGGCCTGCGTTTTTGGAGAGAGCTGGTTATTTATGGGGTAATTTTAACAAAGAAGATCAGAAACAGTTCAAGATGTCTGGATTAACTTTTTCAGCCTTCTTGAGCACTAAGTTCTACCAGTGTGCTTTTATTACTAGTCAGAGGACTGTTACAAGTATCTCCACAGTCAGCTGTAGAAAATTACAGAAAAGGGAACCATCTTTAAAACTCTTCTCTAAAGCAATTGGCATTGTGGAAAAATTTCCACTGGACTGGGAACTTCAAGTAGGGTTTGGTTTATACTGAACTCTCTATACAGCACTACTCTGACCTGTCAGTGTGGAAATCCAGCTGACTTAAGAAAGAACAAGGATAGGTCCCTGCTGAAAATGCCACCTAAATTTTCCTTTTATCTTCAAACAATCCATGTAAGCTCAGTAAGACTGCTTCAAGAGAAAGTTTTTGCACATGAATAACAAAAAATATTCCACAGTTCTACAATTCTTTGTTCCTTTTAGATCTTGGTTCTTTTATTTTGGAAGTTTTCACACAAAACAAATTGACTAAACATTATTTCTGCATTACAAAAAGCGTGCCATGATTTCTCACCACCAAAAGTAATGGGAATCTTGCTAAAAATGTTAMAAGGCCAATATCTAGCCCTTAATAATTATAGCACTTGCCTTGTTAAGATGCACAGCAAAGCAGCTACTGAGTTTAATAAAAAAACATTTACTCTCAGATTCCTACATCCTTTATTTGCATTGTTAGAATGATCCAACTGCAGTTATATTTTGCCTTTTCTTAACAGGGTCCCTCATCACTGTTTATGTCTATACTGTACCCTCTATCCAGTTCTGTTTAATTTCAGAATCTTATTTCCTCATTTGCAGGTGCATAATGCTACTTTATCTAGTAGAATATGGCTCAACAAAATTAGCAAAATGTTACCTTTGAAATCCCAGTCACATGAACAAGATGCTGATCCACAGCTGTCAGGTTTGTGCCTTCCTGCACGCTCCTCTGTTCCTTAGACTTGAATTCCTGCACTCTCTCCAAAACTGTGCTTGCTCTCCCAAAGACTTAAAAACAAAATGATAAAATTATTTCTCTTTCTGCAGCTCTTCAAGTTTTCTTAGTGAACATAGGTGAATGAAACCGATGACGTTTAGCATGATGCTCTGTAAACAGAGGTCTCACAAATGATATCCTGAATAAGATAAGAGCTGTCAAGTCAGACAGGTCAGTGGTATCTCTGGTCTTGTGGATCTTGTGGACCGTTACCCTGTGGATTATGGAGCACACCTCATTATCAATGATTGTTTTCAGACACTTAGACTTAAATTATTATCTTAGATACTGGAACTGGCTATGCATGTGAAAATGAAGGGTAGCTATAGATGTGGCTGACCAGGACAGCAGAAGGCAAAGCAGAACCATATACCCAGGGGTTCTGCAACACAACTGACACAGGGTCATGTAACCAGTGTAAAGATTCAAGGAGGGTTTATGGGAGTACCAGAAATTTCTTTTTTAAATGCTTTTGCTTATTTGCTCATCCCATAGTCCACTTCTTCCTTGATCAGGCATTTTTCTCTGCTTGCTGCTTTGGGGCTGACTATTACTCTTTATCTTCCTTACAGGTGAGAGAGAACGAGGAAGCTGTAACTTTTCCATCACTACCTCCACAGAATCACCCACATTTTGGGCTCCCTTTCTCAGTAAGACTCACAGCTCCAGCCCCAAACCATGTTGTCCATCCCAGGTCCTRCAGTGCAGCAGAGATCAAGAGGATGCTACTGGAGCTCTTGAAGGAGACACAAAAGCCAGGACTGCAGTCTGTATGGTACTTCAGATTTTGCAGCTCCTAGTTCCTGAGGAGAGCGTGTTTTAATCTTGGTTCACACTGATGCATCTCGAAGGGAGATAATAATTGCCTGCTCCAGTATCATCACCTAGATATTTTACATATAGCAAAAAGATTGGCTACTTGTTATTTTAAACAGCGAGAAGCTTCTCATTTGTTTAGTTTGGTTGCTTGATATTGCCCTCCTAAACACTTGTTAAGGGTACAAGCAGSAACACTGTCAGTTCCTACAAGTTTAAGTCCTGTGTCATGCCTCCGTTCTCACTCATTCCCAAATCCCTGTGACATCCCTCCTGCTGCACATGATATTACGTATGCAGAGGATGGGTGAAATCACTGCTTTTTTAGTCAGTATATGTTAAAGTGATACTATATTTTTTAAAAGACAAATGATTAAATACATAAATATTTTTATTTACTTTGAATRCTATTTTTGGTGGTGGTGAACCTTCATTCTTTCCTTTTTCTGTTGCAACCCTTCAATTCCAAAATAAAAGATGCCAGGCTTCCTCCTGAAGAACTTTTCCTGACAGTATTTTCTCCCAAATATTAATAGCATCTTCTAAGTTGGATAATTGGCAATCCCCAAAGAACTGACAGGATCTGGTGCCTATATATTACAAGCTCAAAGCTATGCAACGACCAACACTAATTGATTTTCTTTCTTTCTTTCTTTCCAGTCACAAAAGTACAACTCATAGTTAATAATTGTCTCATGCCATTTCTAAGATGGAAAGTATCTATAGTACACATGCTGCAACCACAAATAATACCTTTGATAGGCTTTCTGCCTGGGGGAGACAGAATAACATCATTCTTTATCATGCCATTAAGCAGAGATTGGATATTTAAGCATGTTAAGCCAAAACTCAGACTACAGTGGCACATGATGTATAGTAGAAGGGACTCTGAATATGCGAGTTCCATAAAAAAAGCAGACACCATTAAAATATAATGATCAAAATGCAGCCTCTCTGGCTCCTGTTGCACTCAACTGCACTTAAAAAGTTACACACCACAATAGTTACCTCACAAAATTTGGTATGGAAAGCTCAGCAGAGCTGAGTTGCAAAGTTCTGGGACTTTTAAAGCTAGTTAATTGGACATTTAAAATGCATTAAATGTTTACTGAAATGGATGCCATAGTTGCCCCCATATATTTTATACACGTATAATAGAAACATTGTTATATAAACACACAGTATAAACATATAATGAAATTCTCCTCCTACAAAGTCATATATGCAGATGTGAAAGCAATGGCAATATAGATGAGCACAAGCTACAAATATGTGACAGATTATTTTGCACAGACTTCAAAAAAAGAAAACATCACTGACTTTTATTTAAAGAACATCCCTCGAGTAGGATATAAACAATACAGCAACCACAATGCAGCTCTCTATCTCCTCAAATAAACAAATGATGTTAGCTAACAATTGTAAGAGACTGATACGAACTGAAATAACGTCTCGGAGCTTTCGGGCGGGCTGAGCTGTGCTGGGCACATATCGCACCAGGAAAGGCAAGCGAATCTGGCACTAGTCCAGTTTCCTTCTATTGGAGCTGGCTGGTAGTGGCYGAGTGATCCTGACATCACACCGCACTATGCCAAATGCCTGCTGCCCTCMCAGACCAGTCCAGGAACAAGGATCCAGCTGGATGGGATACAAGAATGGCACCTTTCTCATCACCAGATGTTAAAACAGGACTCCTCAGTTACTAAAGCCACGTCTGGGTCGTTTTGGACCAGCGAACCAAATGCTTCAAACAGTACCCATGTGAGCGTGGAATTAGCGTTAGCAAAAGGATGAAAACTGTCAGTCACTCAAGGTGGTCTTTAAATTGCATCACGCTCCCAAASAAAGAATGAAAACTCTGGAAATGGTTCCTACCACTGGGAGTACAGTTTCTGTGTATTGATTTCAAGAGGAACCTGATCAGGCCTGATGTCAACTGAGGAGAAAAGTCATCTTGTGTACTTTTAACCTCAAAACTCCCTTTTGCTTTTGGTCTTTGGGGCACAAAAGCTCCAATGGCTGAATAGGTGGATCGTAAACAACGATCTCTGCTTCCATATTTACTTAGGAATGCTATACTTGGCAGCGCATGTTTCCAGGAGCGGAAGGCTCATTTCCTGATGTCAACATAGTATTTGGCACTTAGCACATACTCCCTGAAGAAAGCCATGCCATTGCTGGAACACAGTATGCAAAGGTCTACGATGTTCAGACATGCCTACTAAACTCTTGTGTTCTGATCAAATGTACCAAAAATGTACCAAAACACAAAGCACCAAAGAGAGGAGTCTTAGCTACTGAACACAAAAGGAGTGGGCTGAGTTACAGCACCTTTTGGTTTAATTTCTTCACATGCAAAAAAGGACAGGCTTTCAACTGTTTTGCAAAGTATTCTATTTGTATAACATTGCCCAGTGGATTAAAAGACAAATAAAAAACAAGCTGTGTCTATATTAGCTAAAGCTCCGGGATCCTAGGAACGCCTTGCACCGCATCACATATGCTGCCTTATTAAAAATGTCAAGGCTTTATTTTACTCTACTCCCTTTGTACACATAAGAGAAGAGGAATTTTAGGCACAAAACCACCTCCCTATTACACAAAATAGTATGCAGCTTCCTTGGGAAAATCGTGAATTCTATTTTGTTTTTGAAGGAAGTAATCTTTTTTTCTYGGCTGATCTGATAAAAATAACAGCCCATGATTATCTAATCTGAAGGTCATGTCACACTCAAATAACTACTGTATCTACACAGCGGATGTAAATTCTGCTGTCACCACCCATCACGGCAACTRTTGGCAAATAAAAGCAATGCCACCGCCTGCCTCCCTGGTACATCCCCAAGTGTCTGGGTAGCAAGAATGATTCCTAAAAACAGGCAAACAAACAGCCTGCAATATGTGGATATGCTTGTAAATTTTTAGACGGCATGGTGATGAGSAAATCTTTGCAACTACAGAAATGCAGTAGTGCAGTTCTGTTTTCATTTAAAATGCAAGGAGAACAGACGGTGGCATAACTCCATAGCACAAATAGGTCTTTTTTTTTTTTTTTTTTTAAGAGAGAGCAGATATATTAACAAAGGCTGTTTTTCCATGTGTGTGCTGGTCCAGCACCGGAGACAGCAAAGCACAGGGCAGGTGCTCATTTTTCCCACCAGGAACACCATTTTGGGAGCTCTCTCCTCCAGCCAGCCACCCATTTTCGCATTCCTTTTTTCAGAACTTTATATCTTTCAGGTCCTCATCTAGCTGTCAACATCAGTCTATGAATCCAAAAGTTACCAGGCGAACAGGGAGACCTGAAAACTGTGCAGAGGGACTGGCACATATTCCTTCTTATTAAAAAAAACATGGACATGGAACAACAAAGCCGCAGCTCTGAGCCACTTGGCATCACTCTACCCCGCATTTGAGGTATCTGTCCACATCAAAACATTGCTCCATGCTTATGAAGTACCTGCATGAACTGTTCTTGCACCACTCAGGCGGAAACACACCCCAGGGTTTGCTCGGTATCTCCAGGAGCGACGGCRCCAGAGGCCAGCATGGATTTTTCCCCTTGCACTGTTTTTTTGGATCCCATCTGTGCAGCCACCAGGTGGTTCAGGCACCCTCTGAAACAGCCTAATGGCACCAATGGCTTCCCCCTCTCCTGTGCTGGGTCCCCTCCACCCCCAAAGTTTGCCAGATTGGCAAAACACGGCAGAAAAAAAGCAGGGGGAGGTAGGGGGAGGTAGGGGGAGATGGGGGGGGGGGAGAACGGAGGCTTTGGCCATTTAAATTCAGCGGGAAGTCCCGCCCAGGGTGCGGCCCTAACAGACAGCAACAGGTGTTTCAACTGCCACTCCAGCTCCAACTGTCAATCAACTTCAACTGCCACTCCAGCTGCAACGGTCAATCGCAGCAACAGTGCTGAAATACCATGCTCAGGTACCAACATATATAAATATATATATAAATATATATAGCCATTTTTTCAATCTTTCCCACKTGGCCTCACACCTTGTGTGTTTCAAGAAAGGGTAGAGCATGCCAAAGGTGAGCTTTTTGCTAAAAAAGGCTGTCAGGGTAGCCAAGAAATCTTGTTTGGATTTACCCATTTGCCCCAACTCATGGGGCAGCAAAATTGCCTGGCCACCTGTTGGTTAAAGATATGTGAAGGAAACAGAGTTGGAGATTAAAGGTTAAGGTT